CCCCTAGAGGGCTGGGGGGGTGGGCGCAATGCACTGCAAGCACGGCGCTGCAATGCCACGGGCCGCGCTGCAAACGCTGCAGCGCGCTGCAAAGTGACAGGCTGCAGCGCGAACGACGCGCCGGATTGCAAACGCCGTGCCGCGCTGCAAGCACGGTGCCGCAGTGCAAACCCTGCGCTGCATTTTAAGTGCCGCGCTGCAGCGCCAGCGCTGTGCTGCAGCGGGAGTGAGATGCTGGCTGGCCCGCGTCGTGCTGCACTGCTGCTGCGGGGCAAACGATACGCTGCATCTGGAGTGCGGCACTGCAGCGCAAGCCTGGCGCTGGCACTGCGCACTGCTGCTGCGGGGCAAGCTGCAATGCAAATGCAAAATGCAACGGCGAACCTGGCGCTGCGCTGCAAATGCAGCGCTGCAGCGCAAGTGCTACGCTGCAATGCAAATGCAACGCTGCAGCGCGAGCCTGGCGCTGCAATGCAAATGCACCGCTGCAGCGCAAGCGCAATGCCCTGGGCCGCGGACAACAAAAGTGCAGTGCAAGGCTGTGCACTGCGCAAGCGCACGCTGGATGCACCGCTGCAGCTGCAGTGCCCCGTTGCAGCTGCAGCACAAACTTCACGGCGCACGGCAAGAGCCACGTCGCGTGGCGGCGCGCTGCAAACGCGCTGCACTGCACGAGCCACCTTGCATCACTGCCAGCGCCATGCGCAATGCCGCAGCGTGGGGCACAGCTGCAAGCAGCACTGCAAGGTCCCACCGCCGCGGCGTTGCGCTGCAAGCCCCAGGCTGCTCAGCAAGCGCAACACCCCACGGCATCGCACTGCAAGCCCTGCGCCCCATCCGAAGCACCGCGCTGCCGCGCTGGGCAGCCCCCCTGCCGTTCCGCACGCGCCAGGCTGCTCAACAGCCCCGAGATGCATTTTGGCTGCAACCTCCCCGATCAAATGCTCTTGCCCCCCGCACGCCGCAAGGAAAAAAACCCGCGAAGCAGCGCCGAGAGGTGGCTAAAACTGTCATTACAGCAAAGGGGGGGGGGGGAGGGGAAACATGG